GCAGCACGGATTGTAAAGGAGCAAGTCCGGGAAGTACATGCGTCAAGAAAACGGGCCGGCGCGGACCAAGACGAAGGCGCACCAAAAAAGGCTCCTTGTTCAGGTTTGAGTTCAGTGAAGGAAATTAATCCATTTCACGTAATTGTCGCAGGAAAACATTTAGGATCAGGTACTTATGGTTCCTGCTACCTAGGGTCCTACAGAGGACTGGATGTTGTAGTCAAACAACTAAAAGTTAAAAAATACAGCGGAGAAACGCAAGAAGTTGCAGAGACGAGAGTCCGCAATGAATTGATCTACGAGGCTCGGATTATTAACAAGCTGGGTGACCATCCCGGTCTTCCACTACTTTTCGGAGTATGCAGTAAGCGCGCACCATTTCGCCTTGTCATACAATTTCATGGCGTGAAAGACCGTAGCTCAGCGCTCACGATTTCCAGCGCGCTGACCAAAATGGCGATATCAGCTGTAACAGTGTGGCTGGATGTTATACGAAAAGTGGCAGAAGCTCTTCTTCACGTCCACAACGCCGGATTCGTCCACAATGACATAAAGGGAAACAATGTTGTTCTGGACAACCGGAATGAAAGAAAGTACAATCCCATTTTAATTGACTTCGGTAAAAGCTTGCCAGTGACTGGTCTCAAAGGACCCAAGGTTCTCCCGGCAGAACAGCAGACAAGATACAAGAAAGAGTATCCGCACATTGCCCNGGTGCAACAAAGATGTTATTTCACTATTTGCTGATGATGTACTATAATATATTATCACTCTGTTTTATCAGCATTTTTGATTAGGAAAATTGCCATTTTCATGCACTAGAAAGCAGGAAAATGCATTTCCAGGGGTTTCATGTTCAAAAAATTTATGGGGGGCATGCCCCCAGACCCCCCTAGATGCTCAGGCCCTTTCAGGCCTTCGGAACGTGGCCGTTGGCCACATATGTCACTGCTACGGGTGATAACTTACATGCAACGGCTGCTTCAAAACTTAATGACAGCCCTGATTTTAATTGACTTCGCTAAAAGCTTGCCAGTGACTGGTCTCAAAGGACCCAAGGTTCTCTTGGCAGAACAGCAGACAAGATACAAGAAAGAGTATCCGCACATTGCCCCGGAAATAGTCGCAGGAAAACGAGGGCAAAGTATCGCCACTGACATTTTCAGCTTTGCCCATATGACAGAAGTTATTTTCACGAAGGCCAAGCTGGGTACCCTGCCCGATGTACTTCAGAGAGCTTTGGACTCTGATCCACACAGAAGGCCAGCTTCAAAGGAAATCCTTGCACTTCTTTGAACTATATTTCTTGTTTTAATTCTAACCTGTTTCTTGCTCTGAGATTTAGTGAGAATGCCAAAACGTAGAAAGTGCGATTGCAACAAAAAATTCAGACTCGGGGTTGGGAACAGGAGACCTAACGTGTTTTATTTTTTGGCACATTCACTTTTGTTATTTTCTCATTCCTTCTCTCTGAGAGCACAGAACTGGCCATTCAATTTGAATAATTAAACGAAGACAGACTTTGGCCTGGTTTATGGAGAGTGTTAGTGTAAGTGTTATGTTCGTTTTAGCCTCAAACAGTTTATCATTCTCAGATTTCCGTTTTAACAATC